GATGTCATCTACAATTTTGAAGAAAATACGGGGAAATGCACAAGTTAATGACGTCACAATTAGCATTTCGGAGGTCATATAGGAAAAACGATCTGTGTATTCTTACTGCAGGGAATTCTTATGATACAGAAAGAATGAATTTTGATTTCTTATATCAATTTCATAAAAAAAATATAGGGCTTAATTTGTATTAAAACTGTCCCTTGATCTTAATAAGGAGGGACCTGAATTTCAAAATTTGTCAAGTAAATATGAGTTTCAAACAAACTAAAACAATGTTAGCTTCTAAAAGTTCCAATCTAAGAAAAGAAATGAACCAAAATTCTGTAATTTGAAAGTGTTTTCCGACTCAAAAGCTTTTGTTTTTCAGCATTTTTTATCTTTAATTGATAACTTTTTTATTTGTGAAAACTCGAAAATTTTAAACATGGGAAGCATATATATATATATATATATATATATATATATATATATATATATATATATATATATATATATATATATATATCCTGAAAATTTAAGACAAATGTAAAATAAATTAGGTTCAGCCAATTTTCATTTTAGTCAAATTATTTATGTCAATTTAGTAAATTTGTTTGTAGGCCTTATATGTAAGTTCCTTTTTATGCAAAAAAAATTCAATCTTTTAATATGCAAGTAAGGATATAACGCACAAATTACAACAACTCTTAAACTAATATAACAGCCCTAATTGTAATTTGTGCTTTATAAATAAAATTAATATCATCACAACATGTATTGGTAACAATCCTCTAAAAACTAATGTCCAAATAACTGTATCTCACTTCCATTCTCAATGACCGTGTAGTGTAGGACAGCGTTGTGAGAATTCCATCGGCATCGAAAGCAAGTTTTATAACTTGCCTAGATAGCCGAGCGGTCTAACGCGCTGTTCCTGCACTGCTAGGAGACAGATTCCGTAAGTCGAGAGTTCAACCCCGGGCTGGGGCGGAAGTGAGTATCCTTGTAAAAGTGAATTTCTCTGTGCTTATATATATATATATATATATATATATATATATATATATATATATATATATATATATATATATATATATATATATATATATATATATATATATATATATATATATATATATATATATATATATATATACTTAGTAGAAATGTAGCTTTTTCTCCGTATATTATCATTTCAAATATACAATTCGATAACAAGTTCAAATATCATGTGATGTTTTGCCGATATCAAAGATTGACATTTGAAATACGCAGAGGACACAAGAAGGTGACTTTCTTAGGAGAGAATCAAAGTAAGATTTTTTTTTAAATATAATACATTGTGCAATTTAAAATGTTAATGCAATGTTAATTCAAGTTTATATAGTTCAACAATTAATACTTAAAAATTCCGCACTATATCCCGCATAAATTTGAAAAAAAAATTCTTTATAGGTTTTGGGCTTTTTCTTCGCTGACATGTAGTGGTTGCATTATAGTAATATTCAAATTAGAAATTTCTAAGAAAACAAGTGTTGTTATTCCAACTTTATGGCAAATACTAACAACGAAATTGAAGTTTAAAATCTTTATTACATGTAAAACAGGCTTTGTTAAAACAAATGCTTTTTTTTCCTGAAAAAATTAGGAAGTTTTCATATATATGTTGAATTTTAAAGTGTTTGCCTTTAGTATAATTTCTGTGGTAGAATTATTCCTTTTTCTTTTGTTCATTTTCAAATTCTTGAGTCACGAAATTAGATTGAATGTAACAAAATTAAGTATTAGCATTTTTTTTTGTATGAAATGAACTTTTAATGATTATTTGGTTTTGATTTATACACATCATCTACGCTATGCATGTTAACTTATGGATAAATAATGCGACAAGCAGTAAAATTGTAATTAGTGAGTTCAAATTAAGCTTATTTAAAATAAATGAATTTAGTGCCTCTAAAATTACTTGAGTCTATCACGGTTTGCATTCAAATAATATTCTTTAGTATTCTGTGTTAAGGGTTGATTCTGAAATAGATAATACATGTAGTAAGTAAAGGAAAATCCGTGTTAAACAACACTATAACAATTAATCAATAGATAAATAAATAAAATAAATGATACAACGAAACAAGTGGTAATATGTTAATAATCATGCTATTGTGCTCTTGAAAATTTTTCTATCTGAAAACGCATGTTAATGAAGATTTCACAAAATGGGTACTGCAGTAATCAATATCTATAGCTGTCAAATAATTGAGATAAAAAAGATAAAATCAACATGAAATACTACACTTTGTTTGGCAAACTGACAATTAAGGGGACAATAATCTCATACTTTAGATTAAGGGATTTCCAAAGTTCAATTGTTTTTAAGACATGTGATATCATAGTAGAAATCATTATGCCGTGTTTATCAGTGACACATTTTACGTTTAGGAAATACGTCATAATGGTATGACACTATTCATTCCTTGTAAATAATTGCCAAACGTAGTGCATTTTTGTCCTCTGAAGAATGCTAATGAAAAGTGAAAAAAGAATCTCTAGAATAAATGTAGTTTGCATTTGCTGAGATTAATCCACTGACCGTAATGTACATGAACTGAATAAAAAAAATGTTATCTATTTAGCAAACTGCTCTATGTATGACTTTTAAACTACGATAAAGAATTCAAATTTATGTTTAAGTCGAATGTTTTAACTTATAAAAATTAATTTAAAAAGAATGTCTGGTGTTGTAAAACTATACGGTCACTTCTGACAGTACTATAAAGGATTGCGAAATCCTGATTTCTGATAACTGTAATGCACTATTTTGATTTCACATTTAAAACCCTGCAGTCTTGCACACTCCAGTGCGATATTGATTTATCATAACTAATGCAAATGAGTAAACGATTTTTAATAGACTCATTACAATAACATTACAGAAGAATCTTTGTGTTTGTATGTGTTTAACGCCCCATTCGAGCATTTTACACTCAAGGAGAAGCCACCGATTTGCCGAGAGATGCCATCTTCGTCCTATATACGAGACTTACGGCCACTGAGCAGTGAGGGATCTTTTTCTACTACTTTTTTCACCTACAGCGACAGGTGACTTCGGTTTAAACAGTCTCATTTGAAGAACCGGTTTCCATGTCCCACTTCTTGATTTGAAACATCAGGGGTGGGATCAGGTGCCATGGAGGAGCGAGCACCCCCCGCTGACCAGACACACCCGCCGTTTGCTCCTTGTCATGATCGGGAATAACGGAAAGTCCGTCATCGATGCAATGTGTAAATAATGGACTAATAATTAGTATAAAAAATTCAGTCAGCATTGACTCAATGATAAATTGTGTTTGCTGTCAAGGTCATTTTGGATCTTGAACATGTAGAAAATGAACATTAACATGAAAGTGCTGCTGCTTTCTTGAAATCGGGAATAATGGTAATGGCAACTCATAGAATTTAAATAGAACCAAAGACCTGGAAATTTAAACTGATTAAATGAGAGTTTTGCTTAAAGCAGCAGCAATTTTCAGAAACAAGTTATGAAGAACCAATTTATTATTTCATTGATTATTTTGCTATATTTTAACTAGGATATGCATTTATAATATTATAATCTATTACTGTCTCCTACAAACAGGACACATATTATGAATTTACCAGATGATTGTGAAGTAATGTGACATAACAATATCCAAAAAAGAGTAGGTTATACAAGTGTTATCTCAACTTGAATATGTTAATGTTGCGTTATTACTATTTATTGAAGCTTTAAAAATCAGTCTGAAAATGTATCCATTTGTGCATGTTCATGTTCCCTTGATTTCTTCGTAGTACGCTTTATATATAGCTGTGCTGCGTGCTTCTACTTTAAAGTAATTGCATCTAATTTTCTATGTTAAATATTTTTTTAAATATATTGAATGACTTCAATAAAAGACAGTAAAATGAGAAACATTATTTTTTTTAGTTACCTTCATTTTCAAAATAACAGAGTCTAACTTTCATTTTTTATTTAGCCGAAGTTAAAAAAATGAATTGAAAGTACAAAGTGCTGCATATTGCATTCATTGACTTCATTTTTAAAATGTATACTTCATTCAAATAAAAAAATATACAATCCAAAATAGAGTAGTTGCAGTTTACATAAAATTACAATTTTTCATTTAAGACAAGGTAAGGGTGACTTACAGATACATTAAAATGTCAAAAGTAAAAGACAGTTAAAGATACATAAATTCGAAGTACCTTAGTAATCGAAATGTTTCAAAGTAACAGGGAGTAGCTTTCATTTTTTTTTTTCATTAAGCTGAAGTCAATATTGCAGTCTAAAGACATTCAGCGTGACTCTGGAGAAACAAAAGTTGATGATACACTGTAAAAGGTCAGAAACTCAAACGCAGTAAATTTTTCTCATGTTTTACATTTCATTCTTAATAACGCACCAAAATTTTTATCCATGCAGAGCGAATAGAAAGCAATCGCTTTTTAATTATGTTTGTAAAGAGAATAAATCTATAATAAATAATATATGTAATATATAATATATATATATATATATATATATATATATATATATATATATATATATATATATATATATATATATATATATATATATATATATATAATTTTCCTCGCAAGAGGACTAGTACTAGCATCTCTATGAAAAGATCAACTCTGAAAAACTTTGATATAAAAAAAATGATTTTTCTCTGATATTTTCAAAATTAAAACTTTTGCTAATAATCTGCATTTTATTTCTTCAACCTATTTTAAAACAACTACAATAAAAATGTAAAAAAAAAATGTTAATTCACCAGCACATTGAAATGAGTCTTCTTTTTAGAAAAAAAGATTCGTAATTTTAATGATTTTTTTCTTTAAAGAGAATGTAAGATTAAAGTTTGATCATTTTATCGATAGGAAGTAAATTAAAGATTCTTCAATAAAGACACAATATAGATCATTGTATTCTTTATTTATTTTATTGTCCGAGTAATTCCCCAAAAAACAACGGTGAGATGGATCAAACCGAGTCCAATACGAATGAAATGGAATGCAATCAGAGACGAACTCCTTCAACAGAAAGTACTCTTGGTGCAAAAACAGGTATATTTTTCAAAACAGAGAAAATAGAACAGGTTGTGTGCAAGACCTCATTGATTTACTACACTTTTGGGCAAAAATATCGTTAAGTTGTTAATATCTTAACATATATTTTGCTACGTTGCATATAAGTTATAATGATATGAATAAAAATAAGAAATGCCTCACAATATTAGTTTCATTTCAATAAGTATCTTTACTGTGATTAGATTCAAAGTGGTTTTCTTCATATTTTCCCTAAGACCACTTAACATTACAATTGTAGGAATTGATTGTAGATTTATCTATATCATATTCAGGTCAGTTGTTCTTGCTTTTTCTCCAAAATGACGATATCTATATACAAACAATCTTCATAGATTTTTGATAATCAACTTTACTCCATTAATGATTCATATGCATCTCACTATTTGACAATTTCATTGGTTTCGCTGACAAATAATATAAAAAATTCATTTCTCATTAACAGATCTAAGGATTTATGCTAATGTTCTTGGCGATAAATGTCACAAATATTTTTACATAAAAATTAAACATTATCAGAAATTGTATTTTTGTTCAATTTCATAAGTGAAATCATCTATAAATACGGATTTTTAATGGTAAACAATCTTGATGAAATACCAATATTCTGTTTACCTTTAAAACATATAAACTGCTATATGCGCATAACATATTGTTCATATTGCATGGGAATTGAATAAAAAGGTCATTAAAGGTTATACAGAATTTTTTGTTAATGTATAGAATAACTCTGCTTCAGTCGTCTTGTAAAAACATGAGCATTTTTTTTTCATTTCACTTATAATTGTCTGCTAATGAATTGTAAATATCAATTATCTCAATATTTGGGAATTATTTTCTTTAGTATTGCTTTAGCTAGGCAATTATTCATATTCAGTAGATATAGAAATGAATGAGGTCTTTGAGATTCTCTTCGTGTATTGTCATGAATATGGCAAATATATTTTTTAAAATCATATTTCTAGTGAAATGGGATGTGCTGAAAAGGAAGAATTTAAAATTAAATAACAAACCCCCGCCCCTTTCCGAAAACAAGTATAATTATGATCTAGGAATCATTTTACTCTGAACAAAATAACTCTCTAATTAAAACTAATAACCACTTATTAACACATTTTTCATTCAAAACCATACCATTTGATAGTTATGCATTTTTATATTAATGACAACAAATGCATATACAATTCACCAGTATATTTTAATAATTTTTGGCCATATTTTCAACTTTTTTCCGCGAAAGAATGCAGACGTTGTTCATCCATTCTATACTACTTTGGGATAGTAAATGTTTACTCACAATACAGCATTTTACTTATAATCACAAATTGACCACAGATTTGATTAAACAATCTTATATATTTAAGTCAGAATTTGTAAACTCGCCTTACTTTAAGAAAACAATGGAAATGATATTCGAACTTCTTGCCTTTTTAGGTTGATTAATGTTTTACATCGATACATGTACATTAAATATACATTTTTTCAATAATTAAAATTTTGTCATAACCACAAGTCTAGTCCATGATCGTGGATTATGGCTTTTTGGACATGCCACTGTTGATTTACAGTTAAATATAAATGTTTAAAGTTAAAAACAGTTAATTAATCGTACGTTCTACGTACATTCGTAATTGAAATTCTTGAATTAATTGAAGTAACCGAATTAAACTTTTTGTTTTTTTATTCAGCTGAAGTAAAAAGTCAATCTGAAGACGTTCAACCACCCACTGGAGAAATAAAAGATGCTGGTAAAAGGTACAGAACTCAACCGTAGTTTACTTCTATTATGTCTTACTTTAATTCTTAACTAAAATATTTAAATAAACCAATAAAAATATTCAATAAAAAGATAAACTGATGTGTTGTTCTTTTGAAAGGGAGGGGGGCATTTTCATTTTACCAATTACAATTTTCTTGAAATAAACTGTAAGATTTAATAACATATTGAAATTTATAGTAAATTGAAATCCATTAGCACAAACATGTAATATTCTGTCTACTATTAACCAAGTAAATTGAAATTCATTACCAATGTTTAGTGTATTATTATTTTTTTATTTTTAATTTTTACTAAGTGATCCCGAAAAAGGCAATAAAGAGAAAAAACAAACCGTGTCCAATCAGGAAAATTTTGGATGCAATCAGAGACAATCTAATCCAATAGAAAATACTCCTGATACAGGAGCAGGTAAATTTTGAAAAGGAAATATTATGTTCTGTGCAATGTCTGAGTTTTTCCCAACACTTTTGAGCCAATATATTGTGTAGTGTGTCAAATTTCCTAGCAAGATATTTTATTATATTGTGTTGCTGGATAAAGTTAATCAGGGAACTCTTTGAAAGTAAGAAAATAACATTCATTCTTTTAATTTTCTACAAAGGTCTATAAATTTCTTTTATTGCATTTTTCAAAGCTGATGTAAACATACAGCCTCACAAAGATGAGAAAAAGACAGAAGAAGAGTTAGAAGGAAGTGAAAGGTAGGATACCTAGAAAATGGCAAATTTTATCTTTTCTCTTTGCAGCCCTTTGTTGTCATTCAAAACATTGTTTGTAAATTTGCAATTCATCACCTTACATAATTATGTCTGTCACATGTAAAGAAATATACAAAGTCAGTTTTTTTTATTTCAAGATAATCAGTTGACGTCTTTATTCATTCTTCCCTCAAATATATAGATAATATTTAAAATATAATAAGATCTTTTTTTTTTATCTACAAAGTCACTTAAAAAAAGAATGTAAAAGTAGTGGTCATTGTCGTGTTTAAGTCTTGTCAGAAGGGGATGCTCACTCCTCCATGGCACCATATCCTTCTTTTATTAGAAAAAACGTATATAGTTTTTTTTTTTCCTTTTGTAACAAAATATGACATTTATACAATGACATCTTTTATGAACGTTGACAAAAAAAACAACAAAAAGGATTGTTCGTCCATGCAGCGACCCTTTACGATATGATGCCGCTTAATGATAGAAATATCATTAAGCGTTCAACTTTGCAACTGTACTGAAGTCCATTTAGTACTACGGAAGCTCATTCAGGACTTACATGTATCAAAAATATTTTTGAATTCGTTATAAAGAATTGTCGAATTTATTATTATGAATTTAAGTCGTTATTACAATTTCTTTTAATTCATAAAAAATATGTTGAATTCCTTATAACAAATTCAAAGTATTGTACATAAATATTAAACTTAGTTAACGAATTTTTAAAAACTTGTTATAATGAATTGAATTCGTTTAAATGGATTCTTTAATTTGTTAAAACAATGCATTCTTTTGCATTTAAGCATTTCTTTTTTAATTGAGATCCAAAAATTTCAACAGATCCCCAGTTGCTAGAAATTTGAGATTGTTTAATGTAATTTTGAAGATTAGAATAGAAACACAGAAGAAATATATCACAGAGGATAATATTTTTTTATTAAATATAAAATTTCATGTTTTTATTCATATTGCACCAAAATGCATTAATTAATTTACTGACACGCAAAAGAAACACAAAAAGAAGTACTCAACAAATGTTTGAATTTTTTATCTAATGATTTCCAAAAAAGGATACAGTAAGGCTTAAACACTTTTCAGAACATGAGAGATTTGATAAAAATGTTAAATGTTTATCTTTTAACTTTACTAAGTAACATATGACTGTTAAAACACCCCCTCCCAGCCATTAAATTAAAACGTGCAAGACTGCCCTAAACAACAATTGCAGATTAATTTCTACAATACAATAGGTTAATGAATATCGAGATTTGAGCGAAGGAATTATACTTTGCCATTTTTATATGCCTGTTTTTCAGATGATTAGGTCGAATATTCTCTAAATTAGTACATTGTAGTAACCCTTGGACTTCCAGTCCAAGGACTATCATTTATGCATATTATATATAAGACCCAGTTGAGACGTTATGCAGTGTATTTTTGCATCATAAACTCTCCATCACCTTTACTTTGGGATTTTCCAGTTAGAACAATGGAAATGCGTACTTAAGCCATTTTCGAGAAGCCTTATCATCGTAACGGGAAACGAAAGGAGATTTTATTTATTGAAATATTGCTGCATTACTTAAGATGAACAGTACAAACCCTTAAAACTCCGTGATATTGCCAAATGTTTTGTTAAACATGCAATTTTTGATTTCTGTTAAGCAGACACAAACTTGACTTTCGATTATGGTACGAAAATCGTTCAACCGTTAAATTACAGATACATATGTATTTCCTAAATTGAAGATATCCATAATTTTGAGATACAAAATACTTTACTTTAAATAATTATTTTCCCGTAAAGTAGGGTTGTTGCAACAACTATTGAAATAACGACCACTATTGAAATAATTATATCAATAGTGGTTGAGAGTGCATTTCAATACCAAACATAGTTAGTAACCACTATTGAAATACAACCACTATTGATATAATTATATCAATAGTGGTTGAAAGTGCATTTCAATAACAAACGTAGGTAATAACCACTATTAAAATACAACCACTATTGTCATAATTATATCAATAGTGGTTGGGAGTGCATTTCAATAACAAGCATAGGTAATAACCACTACTGAAATACAACCACTATTGAAATAATTACATCAATAGTGGTTGAGAGTGCATTTCAATAACGAATATAGGTAATAACCACTATTGAAATACAGCCACTATGGAAATAATTATATCAATAGTGGTTGAGAGTGCATTTCAATAACGAATATAGGTAATAACCACTATGGAAATACAACCACCATTGAAATAATTATTTCAATAGTGGTTGATAGTGCATTTCAATAACAAGCATAGGTAATTAACACTATTGAAATACCACCACTATTGAAATAGTTGTTGAGAGTGTGTTTCAATAACAAACATAGATAGTAACCACTATTGAAATACGACTGCTATTGAAATAGTTATTTCAATAGTGGGTGAGATTCATTTCAATAACAAACATAGGTTGCAACCTCTATTGAAATAATGTTCTCTTTTGAAATAAATATTTCAATATGGATTAAATTATTGATTTCATTAGTGCATTGAACAATGAATCCAATATATATTGAAATAATTATTTCACAGGTTTCTGACGCGGTGAAACTTTTCTTTCATTACTGGTAGTATTTTAATAGTGGTTGGAACCTATGATTACCATATTGAAATGCACTGTCACCCACTATTAAAAAATTGTTTTAGTTGTGCTCGTATTTCAATAGTGGTTGAAACCTATGGTTATTGTATTGAAATGCAATTTCGCCCACTATTGAAATAATTATTTCAATTATAGTGGTCATATTTCAATAGTGGTTATTACCTATGTTTGTTATTGAAATACTTTCTCAACCACTATTTCAATAGTGGTCGTATTTCAATAGTGGTTACTAACCATGTTTGCTTTTGAAATACACTCTCAACCACTATTGATATAATTATTTCAATAGTGGTCGTATTTCAATAGTGGTTACTAACTACGTTTGCTATTAAAATACACACTCAAACACTATTGATATAATTATTTCAATAGTGGTCATATTTCAATAGTGGTTACTAACTACGTTTGCTATTGAAATGCACTCTCAACCACTATTGATATAATTATTTCAGTAGTGGTCGTTATTTCAATAGTGGTTGCAACATAGGGTGTTTCGTTTCTTTTGCGTGTCAGTATAATATGTAGACTCTAAACAATTATTGATATTAAACTGGGTCTATTCATGACCATACGGATCTGATCAGGTATTAATTTACCAAGGCTGAAGGCGGACTGGGTCATTATAGACATGCGTATACCTCATCAAATGTCAATACTAGTAACTGTTTTATTAAATGATCAAGAATTTTGAAACATTCTTAAGTTTTTATCTCAAACATTATAACTTTTATGTTGAAGTCCTCGGTGTTAATCACATTATATTCAAACAGCTTAACAACTTTTTATCTTTAAAAGTGCTAATCAAGGGTAATAAACAATAAATATTGAACTATTTACTATGAAAAAGTTGAAATTCTTTGGTACTCGCGTCTGTGATCTTTGTATTTACAACGGAAACTACGTTTAAACAAGTTAATCTATGCTGTTAGGAAAACAAGAGGGAAACAAGAATAAACCTCCATTTTGAGGTAAACTCAGTCTGAATATTCCTCAGAAAAGAGGTTCTAGACCAATTAGAAAAAACAAAAATTCCTGATCATTTAAGAATTCCTTTATTTTGTACACATAACCTTCTCTAACGAAATTTTCTTACGATTTTTTTTCTCAGTGCTTCTGATTATACATCTGAAAAAGACCCTGAAGGAGAGTCTTCAAATGAAAGTACACCAGGCGCCGAAGCAGGTAACTGTAATAGGAATTTATTGTTGGACCACATTGTATTTAAGATATTAATAAGCTATTGGCATACAACATTTTCAATGAGTATTAAATGTGTTTGAGGAACAAAATATACTTCAAAACTTGCTTAAATTTTGGAAGCTATTTCCTTGGTAGAAGCACAGGTTGGAGAATATAAGCATATCATATACCGGTCGCACGAGTTACCTAGAACAATTTACGCAGCGATATTACTCGCATCGAATTGTTCCCCTTTTAAAATATTCTCACACTTATACTAGAAAAAAAAACCAAACAAAACAGAAAGAATTTACATTGGTCATCGATCTATGCATGTTCCTTAGATTGCTCAGTATAACGGTGATCTGCACCTGTAGTCAAAAGTGGTGAAGCGTGACCAACTGGTGTATGCTGTATTGTAATTATTTATGCAAGCCCAAACTTCAAAGTGAGGTTTAATTACTCTTGCGTTTCGAGTGTTGACAATTTATTTAAAAGGCATACTAAGAGCTTGTGAAAGGATCTTGAGTAATTATTTGAAGTAAGAGGGACGTACATGTACGTTAGAAACGGAAATGAGTTTAGGTCTTTTTGAGCTTTAATTAATTGACTTTGCTTTTAAATTTTTGATATGATGAAGCATTTTCTCATTGCACAATTAAAAAAGCAGTTCCTTTTTCACTACTGTTTTTGAAGTATGTATTTAAAATCCAACTCACGTGCGTCCAAAACCACGACTAATATAGGATTGATGAGACTATCAAACCGTATTAATTACTGTTCATAGTAAGGGTGAACCTGAAATTTCATTACCATATGTGTGGGGGTATTTGACGGGGTTCCAAGCTTACTGCTTGATTAGTTAAACTTTCCTTACGAGTAAATACCCATTTTAAAAGTATTGCTTACATGTGCATGGAAATACGAGGGGTGATCAAAAAGTTCGCGAACTATATCTATATCAACAAAACCACAATTCAATTTAGAATGGAATTCGGTACACACGTAGCCATACACAAGGTTTATAAAAAGCATATGTTGAATAAAGTTTTTCTCCTTGTTTGTGACGTCACAGTGGGAAAATGACGTCACGATGTAGGTCACTTGTGACGAAAAATGGTTGTCTCAGTCGAACTCGTTCAATAAACAACTTTATAATTTATTGTATATCTTAGAAATCCCTCTGCTGTATTGTATGATAATTTGTGCACAGTTTATTAAGATAAATGAGCTCCTATAAATTTAATGAATGATTACATTTATTGCTTTAGTTAAGGAAGGCAGATGGTTAAAATGATACTTGTCATCTTGCCCAGTGAGAGCAAGTTTGAAAAGAGATGTGTTTTTTATTAAGCAATTGACTATCAAAGACCTCCAATTTACACTTTGAAAAATAGTTGAATATTTGAAAAATAATATAATTATTAAATACCTAAGATATCGTTTACTTTAGATTTTAAACATATTAGTTATGATAAAAAGGAGGCACCCATTCTCTGTCCACCTTGAAGAAAGTCTCTCCCGAGACGGAAGATTTGTGTTTTAATGGTCGCCATGCTCATTTTTGAAAAGGATGTTCTTATCCAACCATTCTGTTGCCGAGATTTGCCCATTTCTGACAAACGAACTGTTCTTGTCATAAAAAATAACTCACATGGAAAGAAATATAAGACTCAGAAAAATCTTTCAACTTTTGTGACAGAACGCTACGGAGGGGGTCATGTGACCGCCAATATCACGTGATTAGCGCATGCTCAGAACGGTGGTTGATGTGCATTAAAATCAGAGAGGATTAATTTAAAACATAATCAACATTGAAACCAAATATTGTTTCTTTTATGGAAAATATTAAATTAATTTGCGAACTTTTTGATCACCCCTCATATATATTTTTAATATGAATATTTTAAAGCCGCTTAACCCGAAACAGGCACAAATTATTTAACAAAATAAAAGTACTTCATTACATAGATAATGTATAAAAAGAAAGTATAAGATTGATTTAATAGTTTATTACAACAATCCTTACATGGAAAACGCAGATCATAAACCTTATTGACAAATAGTAGTTCCTGACGGAAGTTAAGATCTGTTGTGAAGTCAATTTTGAAAAAAATAAGTTTATCGGATATATCTAATAATGAAGATAATTCAAACCCGAGTATTTTTTTTCTCTATTATAAGAAGCCTTAGTCATAATACATCTTTTCAAAATTAAGAAATTAATTGAATATAATCTATATAGTAATTTTTATATTAATATGCATATTTAAAGAATAAAGGAAGATCAAATATTTTAAATGATTTTTTTTAAAAGAGCTATATATGTGCAGGTATATGTACTTTGTTGTGAAAAAAAATGCTCGGGTTCGTTCTTCATGAGATAAACATGTAAGCGATAAATTTAATTTTTCGAAGGTGACTTCACGCAATATCAACAATGATCAACATAGGATTATTTTTTGTGTGACCTAACAAAAATTATTTTTTTAACTTTTGAATTTTGATATCTTTTAAAAGAAAAGGACTTTGGGGATATAATTTGCCAAAAGTTGAAACAATTTATGGACAATTATTTCTCAAGAAGAAAATCGAATATATATTTTTAGCGATTAGAATCGGACCAAGCGGCTTTAACTTAAACCGATCGGCATAATATTAAAAATAATTCCAATTGCCTTTTAACAATAGGTGTTCATTTTATTTTCCAAATTTGTGCCAGGTATTGAGTAAGAATATTTTCTATTCAAATATAAATATACGAATAATTTATGCCTAAACCTTGCACTATGTAAGTAATATCTAAATAATAACATCAGCTTCTCACCACCTTTAATTTTCTTTTTTAGATATACAAGTATACGAGATTTTTACCATTCTTCTTAAATGCAGTAAAATGTCATTATTTACAAAAGGTTTTATTGCTTGTTAAATTTCAAATGCCATAAAATGAAAATTTAATATATGTATTTGAGATGAAATAAGACAGTGTTTGTTACCATAACTGAACAAAGATACAGGAGGAAGAACATATAAAAGTCATTTATGCGTACGAGAGTCGTTTAATAAATAATGCAATATGCCATCTAAAAATATGTAAAAGTCCATAATACATATTCTTTATACATGTAGTTTCAATACTTCAAGGCATTACGTGTACCGGTTATCTTTTACACGTGTATTATGTCTTTGTGTTTATGCACAGAAAACATCAGCATACTCATCTTTAGGGGTGCCCTAAAGGCACTAAAGAATATAATTTCCTATGACATTTTTTACATTGTACAATCTTCCTTTGATCGTTTTAATGTGTATTGGGAATAAAAAGATCTCATGATGTCTTATATACATCTAATACGACCGATGGAAAAGTTCTGTTAACTTTCTTTTCTTCACAATCTTATTTATTTTATATCAGGCACAAGATAAATACCCTGGTCACCGAGATAAGAACTCCCCTGGCAAGAAATTTGTAAAAAAATGAATTGACAATAAACAAAACTGTTGCTGCTTTACAGTCAAATTTTTGCAAGTTATATGATTGCTACAATTACATTGTCATACATAATGAAACATGTTCTAAAGGTTTGGCTTAAAAACGGCTAATACATGCAATATGTGTAATGATGCGTTATTTGTTTCTGTAAGTGACCATTAAGCCGAACGCTACATTAAAGTAATATTTTCAAATTCATTTTTTTATAATAGGGCATCTCAAAGTCTTTAATGGGTGGATAAAATTAAGGAAACTTGGTTCAAAAGTGGCGTTTAATTAATTGCTTAAAAAAAGGCTTTAAGACTGTCGTTGTATTTCGTTGATTAAAGAAGGCAAAAGAGCTACCTTTTGGTCTAATTCCCCATTAAACCAGACTTATCTAGGTGCTAAGTTCGCAAACTCCTTTCATGCTGCCTATAAACTTCTTTTAAACAAACTTTAATTCCCTTTTACTAATCTTAGCAATGAACACTGAACAATGAACACTTTTTGCGTAACATCTAAGTTCTGAGTTTTTTAAAATATATATATTTATAATAAAATTGATTCAAAGTACCCTTGCTAAAAGATTTTATGCAATTCCACTTTAAACCCAGTTTTGCACCTCACCACAATTCTAAAGTATCTTCTATAAGAAGAAAGTATTTAGGAACTTTCAGCATCATAATCATGTATTTTATTCAATATTTACATATGTATGATACTATTTTCAAAATCTTTTCATATGCTTCTGTTTATTTACTTCTAGCATCTTAAAAAAAACATATGGCCCTATACATTTTTGGAAATGATTGGTAAATATAAGCTTGATTAAAGGAAAATGAATTCAATTTTTGTATGTTTAACAATTAACATTTTAAGGTATGAAAGTACTTAGAATACAGTGACAAAATCTTGAGAAAAGTTATTTATTTTTAGGAACGTCTCGTCTGACCTTAATCTACCTTAATCTGAGGTAGATAAGGTTTATAAAATACATCTGAACTGAAGTGCATTTTGTGTATAAAGTGTTTTGATGAGGGTACAATGTACTCAGACACACCTAGAAAACACTTTATACATAAAAACACCATCCTGACTCCAAGATCCTATGCATCTGAATAAATGCAAAAAAGAAAGAAATATGATTACATACAAATGAGCCCCATCGTGGTAAAACGGTTTTGTTAACATTGCTTTGTTCTTAACTGGGTCTACAGATATCCTTTGATGACTCGCGAGATCTTTTGAATTATGAGATTCATTTGATGATGGTTACTAGGAAGAGTGAAGCAGCTTAGAGAGTGGGAGGGTTCTACGCCTAACAATGGATACATTTCGTTTTATAAACGCAAATGTAGGAACGTCTATGAGGAATATTTCAAATAAAGCACAGGTAAATAAGTCAGAAGTTAGTTACTTATGTATTCTTAGTATAAGGGGTTATATGAAACTGAATGAAATGTTTTGTTATCATCATATCCATTAATTTATGTGTGTACATATCTCTGTAATCTGAGGATAATCT